TAAATTCGTAAGGCTCATTCATGATACAAAAGATAACAGGCTCAACGCTCCGCGTTTATCCACAATCCTTTACACTCTGTAAATAAGGTAAGGGGGTTAATGAATTTTTGTTTGACAGCTTGGCAAACATGATCAGCTCAATGTGGCTTTTTGTCAGTTTTGAGCAGAAAGAGAAGCGTGAGCCTGATTCCAGGGTGGACTCAAACACCATGATGAGGCCACGGTGGGGGTGGGACGGCTCCTCTTTGTTCCATTGCAGTTTGCTTTTGCCTAGTAAAGCAACATTATCTGCTTTTCTAAGCAGTTGCTCTTTACAACTTTTTATATATCCTGAATTCAGTGACAGAGGAGTCTGAAATGCAGTCAAAATATTTCCACTGCTCTATTTCTAGAAAACTTACGCAAAGAAGAGTGAGTTGGAATAACTTTCAGATGCACAGTTAGCACAACCTCTGAAATTTTAAATACACTTACTCTCTAGTCCAGCAGTTCCGCTGTGAAACCTTTGCAAAGGTTCACAAGAGTGTACGTACAAACGCGTTCAATGTAAAACTCACTCAGCAGACGCTCACCATGCCAGGCGCTGTTCAGGGCACTTGAGATCAAGGGCGAGTGAACAAAACAAAGACCTGTCGTCTCGTGCAGCTCACATCCTAGGAGAAGGGAGGGAACAGGGTGTAAACAGTGCACACGCACAGAAGTACACAGAGGCTGGACAGCGGCACCCCTGTGGAAAATATAAAGTGGATCTGGGTAAGAGAGATGGGGAGTATAGGTTAAGGCTTTTAAGTTCCCATGGCTTGGGGTACTGGTTTCCACTCCTTTGCTTTAGGTCCACATTTACAAATTAAGTCTGTGGTTGAGATTTAACTAACAAGCTTGATTGACCTCCTGTTGATGGCCTGTCGTTGGGTTTTGGTTTTCAATCTCTCAAGTCCCTCTGCATTTTGATTGATGTGTTCAGTTTATTTACACTTAGGGTGATTATTTTACATTTTGTTTCCTGATTGTTCTTTAGCTTCCTTTTTTTCCCTCCCTGATGTTTCTATCTGCCATTTTATTTTCATGAGTCTCTGTTGTTTTTCTCTATTTCTTAGACTTCTTTATTTATAGTTGTGTCCTTGTCCCAGGTTTTTGTACTGGGGTCAAGTTAATGTTTTAAAAGGGGTGGGGATCAGGATTTCATACTGAGTAGAATAGCTCTCCCATGACGATCTACTGAAAGTCAGCTCTGGGACCCTCCCTGGTGGCACAACAAGTTAGGAACGCAGTACTGCAAGCTGGTCACAGCCACTTCAGTGTGAGTTTGATCCCTGGTGGGGGAGGTGATCCATATGGCGAAGCAGACCTCTCCTGACCCTCCCGCTGCTCCCCTCAGCAGTGTACTTCCTCCATCTGCCTGTTCTGCTCCCCACTTTGTCTCTGGTGAATCTTCTCACTGCCCCTACACCTCTGGCCTGTACCCCAGTTCTGTGTGCATACATAACTAAAAAAAGAGAGAGAGAAAGTCAGCACTAGACACAAGGGTGAGAAAGGGAAGAGAATTGAAAGAGAAATTAAAAAGTTGACCTTACTGAGATAATATTGAGCAAAGATCAGAAGGAGGTAGAAGTTGAAACATACAATAAACTTGAAACAACCTAAGTATCCATCCAAAGAGAAGGTTAAAATGTGTAATCCATTCAAAGGAATAATACGGGAGACCATGAAAGTGAAGCAGTTGACTAGGAAGCTTCCTCAGATGCACTGGCAGAGACTGAGGCAGAGATTAGAGTGCTCCCTACCGTGACGCACTCTCAGGAGCAGCAAGCTTTTCGAGAAAGTGAAGGACTAGCAAGCAGAGATTGGTGGAAGGAAGAGTTAATTGCAATCACCTGGAGACCTTAGCCTCTGCCACCCGGAGCTTAGCTGTTAGGATGATTCTTCAGAAATACCCCCCATTGGTGCACAGGGTCAGCCTTTTTAATATATCTATTTTTAAAAGAAAAGAAATGACATGAAAAGAAAATGTCATATTAAAAATTAAAGCAATGTAAAAGAGGAGAACCTTCTAATACCTTACTCGGAGTTTCTTTAGCATAGGGGACCCATAAAAGGTATCTACAGAGCTACCCAGTCATCCGGGGTGCTGTATAGAAGTACTGCTGCACCCCTGAGTTGTACTTGGTCAGGAAGAACCTCTTGCCAAGAACAAGGCAGGTGACCTTGATCTTGGGGGAACTCACAAGAAGGAGGTCTGGTGAAATTGCAGTCCCTTTAGAAAAGAAAAATGAGACTAGAGTTGAAAGTTAGCACTGCATGGTGTCTTAGGATCTCTGCTACGTAGCAAAGTGATGATCCCCAAAACATCAAGCCATGTCCACCCAAGGCATTAATGGGAGGGGCAGTGTCAGAGCCAGGTTTCACTGCAGAGATGACCTTCACCTTGCTAATGGGTCAAGGTAAGGTCAATCAAGCTAATTTGAGCATAAACCAAAGCTGTAGAAATGAGGATGTTCTTGATCAAGCATCTGATTTCCAAGGATGGAAATCAGCATGGCATTTAGGAAATTATAAATGACATATAACACTTTATTAATGTAACATAGGGATTGAGCATTTGTGTTCTAGAGTCAGAAGGACTGAGCTCAATGTTATCTCTGCCACTTTATTGGCTTTGGGACTTAGATAAGAGATTTCATGTCACCAGGGCTCTGGTTAGCTCAGTTGTAAAATGAGTATAATAACATCCCTTACCTCATAACGTTATTGCGAAGATTAAATAAGCTTTTCTTTACTCCACCGCCTGGGGCATAGTAAATGCTTAATACATGTTGACTATACCAAGTGTCACATATTTCTTCTCAGTGACTTACAAACCCCGGGAAAGTAGATGTTATAATCCTCCTTTCCAGGAAGTCCCAACAGCACAAACTCAAAGAAGTCAAGTAACTCAGTAAGATCACACAGCTTAAATCATGGAATCAAAAATCTTCCCTCACTCCTAAGTTTAGGACACTTCCCATTAGCTGATGAATAAACAGGCAATTTTATGTAACATTTGTTTTAAATCGATGCTGCTTCACAATAGTCACACAAGTTTCTTAACTTCTTTGCAATTCTACTTTTTTTTATTGCAATAAGTTAATGAGGAAAGAATATTCCACCTTTTTTTTTTTTTTAAGACTTATCTTTATTTATGCACACAAGAATTGGAGTACAGGCCAAAGGTGTGGGGGTGGGGGTGGTGAGAGGACTCACCAGAGACAGTGGGGAACAGAACAGGTGGATCTACTGAAATACACTGCTGAGCGGAGAATTTTGCTGTGCTGTGTAGGTCAGTTCCCTGGCCTGGATAGAACTCATGCCACAGTTGCTGCCTTGATAGCACTGAGATTTTAATTAACCCTGTGCCACCAGAGAGGCCCCCAAAAATTCCATCTTTAGAACCAGGCAGTTTGGAGGGGCTTAATTCCTTTAAGGATTTGTAATGAAAATCAGTTCATGAATACCTGAACTATTATTCATACTCCTCGATTCTCTCTGGTATTGGTACCCAATCAGCATCCCTGGGAATGTATAACTCCCAGCCAAAAGGGGACTGTAACTCTGTTATTACTTCCTTGTTCTGGGCACTAGATGTCACACTAAGTAAAGTTTTAGAAGTTATTCTTCAAAATAGGGTGTGGCATAATATTTAAACCTAGCTGTGAAAAACCCTAGCTTTGTATTTCTAGTACAATTTCACCTAACTTAAGAATTCAGAAAAAAGGATTTTTAATCTGCAAATACACTTGAAAGAAACTTTGATATCAGTTACACCTCAGTAAAGCTGTGGCTGGTGGTGCTGGGGGTGGTGGTGGTATGTGTTTGTAGTAACAGCCTTTGTAATGTCTAGTAAGTAGACATATTCCATTTATATGTACATTAAAATGAAATTTCCTTCCAAAACAAATGTGATTTTTCAAAGGGCAACTTATATAAACATATCCATGATCATTTGTGTTCTGAGATGGTGAGAAGCTATTCTTTAAAAAAAAAAAAAAAGATTTATTTATGCCTACAGAACTGGGGTACAGGCCAGAGGTGTAGGGGCAGTGAGAGGATTCACCAGAGACAGAGTGGGGAGCAGAACAGGCAGATGGACAAAGTACACTGCTGAGGGGAGCAGCGGGCAGGTGAGGAGAGGTCTGCCGCACCATGTGGGTCACCTCCCTGGCTGGGAATCGAACTCATGCTGAAGCAGCTTCAGGGAGCTTCACAGTGCTGCTGCATTTTAACCCGTTGTGCCACCAGGGAGGGGCAGAGAAGTTGTTCTTAACTAAGAAAAGAATCAGATGTGGCCCAAATCTACAGGGGGCAGAACTGAAGGAGAACAACATGACAACTACATTCCTTAAGGCCTGACTGAAGCTCTCAAGAAAAGATGTGGAGTTGCCTTTCTAGTTTGGCTAAGTCAAAGGAAACAGAGGAAAGGGCCCCTCCCAGCCATCTGAAATTCCTCTATGCCTTGTTGTCAGTTCTCAGAAATCTAGGGGATAGTCATAGATTGACATTTGTATGTACATTATTTCCTTTGGGTTAAAAAGAAAAAAAAAGTGCTTTCAAAAGATGGCAAGGAATATGGGCCGCACATGTAAACAAGTTAGATGACTAGATCCTGTGACTTGACTGTGTTACTGAAATGCCATTGCGTGTTATCTGGAATGCTTGGAGTGCATTAGAAACTACAGAGGATTCAAATCGTTGGTTTAATAAGAATAGTGCATGTTTTTGTTATTTTAAAGATTTATTTTATTTATGCACCCATGAACTGGGGTATAGATCTGAAGCACACAGGGGTAAGGGGGCGGCAGTGGTTAAAACAGGGGAGCGATTGCAAAGTCTGTCCTGAAAGCCACTATTCTTTCTTCCAATCAGGGTATACCCCAAGCTTTAAACAGCTCTGGGAGGCGAACTATAGCATTTGCAGACTATGGATTTTTCTTGTATCTGTGAGCCATGTTCATATTTCCCAACAGGTCATGGGTTGACAGCTGTCAAGGAAAAAGCTGGGGCCACCCTCCGGATCCATAGTGTAAACTCTGGCTCTCCCGAAGAGACCCAGCCTGACACAGTGAGTGGAGTTCCTCAAGGTGCGTGATGTATTTGTGTCTGGGGAGAGGGTGCAGATTTCTTGGACTTGAACATCACTACACTATATGCCCAAATAGATTTTCAAGTGCAGATGAGCAAAATGAACTCTAACAGCTGTCTTCCTCTTCAGCAGCAGACACACCCACAGATCAGATCGCTGCAGAAAGCCCACCTACTTCTCCTTCATCAGGGTCTCGGGGTGTGCTGTCAGCCATCAGCAGCGCAGTTCAAAACACAGTAAGTCACTAGTGGCCCCCTCTGTTCTCCCTGGTATCTCCTGGTGCCTCCTTTTAATGTTTTAATTTACCAGTGACCTAGATACACCAGGGGAAAAGAAAGATGGCTGTGCTCATAACTTTGGATTATGGCTCAGTTATGCTTTCTCCTGCCGAGTAGGCGTAACCTTGGAACCAAAAAAATAAGGGCAAAATGAAATGCAGTTTATGTTTAAAAGAAAAGAGCTGCTTAGAAGGGATTTTTTTTTCAGTCTGATGTGTCCTTTCAACAGCTGCTACAAAGACAGCCTCTGGCTGAAGGTAGAGAGAGCTCTTTCTTAGAGCGAGGGCAGCTAATTTTCTTAGATGGCTCTATGTCACTTAATCTTCAATTTGAAAAATTATAAAGCCATTCAAATAAAAAAAAAAAAGGTCCTGGTAAGGATTCAAGAACAATATTCCAGAGATGTTTCTGATTCTTTCTCCAAACCTTCCTCCCACTTGCCCCTCCCCCTTCCTTGAATAACAGTTTATCTCTCTCAGCCCCTGAGGCCCTTGCCTGGCTCTTCAAGAAGCTCTTTCTTGGCAACCAAACTCTGATGAAGACTGAAGAAGTGGGGAGGCAGCCTAGCAAAGATCAGACAGCTAGCTGGTCTTCGGTCAGGAAGAAAGGTTTATTTTCTGCTGTATAAAGCCACCTTACTGGTTTTCCTAGATATGTGGTTCCTGTCCATTTTATTCACTCCCAAATGAGAAAAGGAGTGATCAGCCCTTCCTGTGATAGGCCAGGAGATAGTCCAGGTGCTCAGAATCCACTGACCAGCACGAGGGCACCTGCTTCCTGAGAGACTGAGGCACCTCAGACAGCAAATACAATGCAGTCTGAGAAGAGGGGCTGTGGACACATAGATGAGGGCATTTACCCAGACTTTGGGGGTCAGGGCCTGCCAGAAATAGAAAGTAACTGCTCTCCTCCTTGCTCCTTGAGTATTTCTGGAGTAAGTAGAGTTGAGGAGCAGTAAATGTGTTTCAGGATCAAATAGTACTGGTAGCCAAATACACCAAAGGCGAAGTTGGAATTGCTGGGAATGGCTCTATCTGGTGAAGAAGTGAATCCAGGGTCCCCATGGGCTGCGGTGTGGGCTCTCTGAGCTTGCATGCCTTTCCATGTTTTCTTCCACCTTTCCCCCCGCTCTACAGCTGCCCACCTCATCCAACCAGGTTTGCCCTGATGGGAAAGTCCCTATGTCCTTTCCCCTTCCATTTTATTCTCTCCTGAAAAAATTCCCCATAGGATGTTAGGAGCAAATACATAAACTTACGCAGTCGTGTGAATTGCTGATGTCCCCTAGTCCTCCAAATGGACATGTATTTTAAAATCTGTCCTGGTGCATGATTTTGGCTGGCTCCTAAATATAAAAAGAATGATTAAATGTCCCAGGTGGAAATGGCAATAAATATATGCATTCCAGTGAAATCAGACATGCTACTATGTGGTCACTATGAAGATTAGAGAATGCATATAGATAATAAAACACAGTGCATGTAATTCATATAAAGTGGGAAAGCACAGATGTGTGCAGATTGTAATTGCAGTTGTTCAGTGGAGTGCATTTACTGAAGCCGCAATGAAGTGTAAGCAGTTCTGTTTGCAAGAACAGTTTATGTGAGTAAATCTTGGTTGTTTTAATCTTTTTTTTTTTTTTAAGGAAAACAATAGCTGACAAAGGGATTTGCAGTTAGATAGCTGTATAATAGAACAGTTTCCAAAGCCAGTAGTATATGGAAATCAACCTGCCTTATCCATGAATATACTAATTATAGGCCATTATTGCTAGTTTCTGGATGTCTGCAAGAGCCTTCTGAAACAGCCTGAGGCACCTACACTTCAGGACCCATGATTGAAGAATTCACTAAATTGGCAAGAGTCTCTGACATTTCAATAGACTACTCCAAATAATTCTATTACTTGGGTTAAGATATTCTCATATACACATGAACACATATAGAGCCAGTAAAATTAATCCTAAATATGCTTTGGTTTTTCATAAACATCATTTTTTAATAATAGTTTATGTCCTACAAATTATACGACATATGTTCTTCTAATGAAAAGAAAATAGGATTAAATGGATGACTTGGTATTGATTTTTATATATGAAGATAGGCCCGGCTAAGAGTTGCTGACTGCTGTGAGACAGTCAGCAGAATGTAATCTCTAATCTCATGCAGTTTTCTCATCTGCAGGGTAAAAGCGTCTTATCAGGTGGTCTAGATGCTTTGGAATTCATTGGCAAGAAGACCATGAACGTCCTTGCAGAAAGTGATCCAGGCTTTAGACGAACCAAGACTCTCATGGAGAGAACTGTCTCCTTATCTCAGGTTGTATTATACACTTTGCAATGTTTTCTTTTTGTCAAATATTTGAGTTTTTCCAAAGATATGTTAAAACACAATATTCAAGTTAAAGTAATGCGAAATAGTTGAGAGTAAAAATTGAGTTTTAAATCCACCCCTTTCCCCAGCCACTTCATTCTTCATGGAAAATGACCACTATTACTCTCAGCGATGTATAAATATAGATGCACATATATACGTATGATATACTTTTTCAACCAAATTATTACACTCTTTTGTACCTTGCTGTATTCCTTGAGTAACTTCTTGATTTCATTTATATCTTCTTACTTGACTTAGGTTGCCATAACAGAATACCAGGCCGGGTGGCTTCTAAGCATTTATTTCTCAGGGTCTGGAGGCTGGGAGTCAAGCTGTCTTTTCAGTCTGCCCTTGCATGGCAGAAAGGGATGAAGACACTCTCAAATTTTGGTAGGAAGGCACTGATCCAGTCATGAGGACTCCATCTTCATGACGTAATCACTCCTGCATTCATTTTTTCTCACATCTGCATTCAGTCCACTGCTAAAAGTTGCAAAGGTCATACAAATGGATTTTTGGCTAACAGACTTAAGAACCTAAAAGGAAAATGACAATGTGTGTTTTATTGACACACAATAAAAACTACAATCTATTGCCCATGAGCTCTCCTGTGACCTTGTATAGCCACTGTATTTATTGTGCTCTCTACAAATATTAAAGGACCCTATAAACTTAATGCCCCTATAAACTTGATTCTCAGAATCAGAGAAAGCAAGTGTAGGAAGTGGGAGTGACTAATGGATTTGTGTTCATTTTGTTGTCTTTTTATTTTCTGTACAATAACAAAAAATAACTGGAAGACTGTTACCGACATGGAGAGGAATCCAATTCACAGTGATACTTTCTAGAGACCAATCTCAGAACTGATAATTTAATAGTATTATGTATATTAAATAGCAGGTGGGTAATGCATTATAAGCTTATATTTTATGAATTTTTTCATCAGAGATGTTTAGTAACCACATACAAAACTTTAATTAATGTAACTCAGATTTAAAAAGCGAGAGCAGTTTAATTCTGTTTGTGGTCTATCTAGGAGCTGAATTGTAATTAATCTTGTCCCAATAGATTAAACTTCCCCAATGTATATAACATTTGTACACTGAAGAAAATTTGAACATTTTAGAAATAAGAAAATTAAGTACACACACAAACAACACATTGGTGGAACTACTATTAAGTTTTTCTTACTCTTTCCCATCCTACTCCCAACAAAGAATTTTGCTTTGTTTGCATGTACATAATGAACATAGAAGACTCAGCATGGAATATTATGTAAAAGCTGTCAGTAAATTCAATCAAAATAGTCATTTTTTAGAAATTCCAAAGTGACTAAAATCTACCCTTCTCAAATACAAAGTCAGTCCTCAGCTCCCCTACAGTTTACACAGGGACTTCTAAGCCTAACATGTGCATTTCTGCAGATGCTAAGGGAAGCCAAGGAGAAGGAGACACAGAGGCTGGCCCAGCAACTCACGGCTGAGAGAACTGTACACTACGGGACCCTGTTTGATGAGTATCAAGGTTTGTCACACCTCGAGGCCCTGGAAATTCTGTCCAATGAAAGTGAAAGCAAGGTATGGCTGCACAGTCCTTTGAAATAACATGATGTGTTTTCTTAAACATGAGAGAAACTGGAAAAGCTGTCATGAAAATGCCTCATTTTTAGAGCCTCATTATTATGCTACAGTCACAAATTCTGTACAACCTCCTTACTCCCTTTTACTCTATATTATTCCTCATCCATCCTGAGCCGACCTAATGCCTTTCCACAGCCCCAAGAGGGCCAGCACAAGAATCCATTAGCCCCAACTCCTGGTGCAGAAGGCTGCTCAAAACACTGGCTGTCAGGCCCCTGGCCTTGTGCTCCCCTGACAATGTGAGGCCCAGACCATGCCTTCATCACGACCCAGTGAACACTGACATGTCCTCAGATTGCAGGAGTTTAGCACATTTACTTGTATGGGTTAGATAGTCATTCATCACTTGTTAAAATGCCTGGGCCGTAAGGGACAGGGTTACTCCAGAACGGAAGCCTGGAAACTGCCCTGTGTATTCTCACTTCCCCACTGAAACCTCATGAAAGGAAAACATGAATAGCAGACAGAAGCAGGGTTTGGTGATTTTGTTTATCTTTTCTGAAAAGATCTGTCCAGTGTGTATGTGCGTGTGTACTTACTAAACACATGTGGCACCTGTGATGTCACTAAGCACGCTCACTATTAACTCATTTGAATACATAAACAGCCTCTTTGGGGTGAATGTCTGGCTGGACTATGAGCCACACCAGTGACAGTCACTGTGCAGAGAGGAGGTCCTCAGAGAAGAAGCTGAACTTGCACGTGTGTTTAGAAGGGAAAGTGGTTTTTACCCACTGTCAGTCCTGCTCTCTTACATTTGGTCTTTGAGGAGGCCAAGCCTGTCTTGATGCCCACCGAGTGGGGAAGGAGGCCCTCTGCCACATACCAAGAACCTAGCAGGATGGAGACACCCCTCCCTTGCCCCAGGTTATCAAGTTCTGTGTTTCAGTGTTTCCTTTATTGTTATTGAGTTGAAGTAAAGATGCAGTGCACCTCCCTGTGGCTTAGTGGGACTAGGAGGAAGCAAAAGAGATGCTGTAGTGGGAAAAGGCTGACAAAAGACTCTGTGGCCAAAAGGAAGCTTTCCAGGAGATACCAGAAACATAAAACTCCTAGTGAATTTCACTCCCAGATGATGGCTACCCTTCAGAAGACAAGAGAAAGCCAGAATGTTCCATGGTGCATATGCATTTCACTGCACTATGCTCTAGCACTCTTTTTTTTTAAGATTTATTTATGCATATAAGAGCTGGGGTACAGAGGTGCAGAGGGTGAGAGGATTCACCAGAGACAGAGTGGAAAGTAGGTAGATTTACTGAAATGTACTGCTGAAGGGAGCAGTGAGGGAGACAGGAGAGGTCTGCTGTGCCATGTGGGTCACCTCCCTGGCTGGGATCGAACTCATGCTGCAGTGGCTGCAGATAGCTTTAACCAGTTGCACCACCAGGGAGGGCCCACCCTAGCACTCTTGCACACTCTGAGAAGTGCTGCAGACACACATATGAAGCACTGGAGTATGATCTGTGCCTCTCTTGGGCCCTAAGCCCAAACGTGAGAGCTAGTGCTGAAATGAAGACTCTGACAAGGTCAGGGCAAGAAGGAGCCAGCAGCCTCGTGGAGGGTGCCTCTGCTTCCACCTGCTGAACTCCTCGCCTAATGGGTTTTCTGTTGATGACTTCCTGCGGAGCTTCCTCCCGGAGCCTTGGCACCGGCTGCATTACGCCCTAGTAATGGGCATTAACAACTTGTAGGAAATGGGTTCTGGCAGTCAGCTTGCTGACATCTCCTGATCCACCACCATCATGAATATTCAAGCACATTCAAAGGAGGTTACAGTTCCTCTGTGGCTTACCTCCAGAGCCACAGAGGGTTTGACCTGCTGAAGGAAAATAATCTAAACTTGATGACATTATCATCATACTTTGATTTTATATGACTCTCCACACACTTTGGTCATTTTGCAAATTCAGATCAGTCTTCAGATTTATAGGCCAACTGGTCGACCAGTCTGTAGGCACGATGCTTCAATGTTTATAAAAGACAGTTTCAAGAAGGGGCTCTGAGACAAGGACATCGGTCTGGTCCTAGCACCATCTCTGTGAAGTCTCCCTGCATTCTCTCACCTCCCCTTGGGGCTGCAGCTGTCCCCCTGGTGCCCTGACTCACCCTCCACTCACAGCTGTCTGGCTTTTATGGGTTAACTGGGTTCCCTCCTCTTGATTACAATCTCTTGGAGCAGAAAGTGTGTCCAGTGCATTTTTGCAGCCCTTTGTGTACCACAACTCGCATCACCAGTGCACGTACCTGTCTAGCTGCATGTTCCCTGGACCTCCCTAATCGACCACGTCACTTACCTACAGTCAACCAGCACCCCAAAATGCACAGTACCATAAGAGTTTGAGAGACAAGGACCCCTTTCCCATAACTTTTCACAATATATCATTCTAATTGCTCATTTTATTACTAGTTGTTGCTTAATCCCTTACTGTGGCTGGTTTGCTAGTCAACCTTTATCATAGCGTGTATATATAGGAAACGACATGGTGTCTGTAGGAGTTGGTGCTACTCACGGTTTCAGGCATCCATATGGGTCTTGGAATGTGTCCTCCTGTGGACAAATGTTAGACAACTATGTTTGTATAACCTTATTTATTTGTTTACAGGTACATACAGATGTAAATATATATGTAATTATTGACCATTATTATAAACATCTCTTAAAGTACTTTTTTTTAAGATTTATTTTTGTTTATTTATGCATATAAGACTGGGGTATAGATCAGAGGTGCAGGGAGTGAGAGGATTCCCCAGACACAGAGTGGGGAGCAAAACAGGCAGATCCACTGAAGTACACTGCTGAAAGGAGCAGTGGGCAAGAAAGGAAGTATCTTCTGTGCCATGTGGGTCAGCTCCCTGGTCAGGATCAAACTCATGCAGCAGTGGCCGGTGATTGCCAGCACTAAGATTTAACCCCTGCACCACCAGGAAGGCCCCTCCCCCAAAGTAATTTTAAGTGTATTATTTCATTTAACCTTGAAGACATCCCAAGGTCACATCTTGAGTGAGGAGCTGATAGTTGCATCCAGGTTTGACACTGAGGGTGCTTTCATAACACAGGAGTTTCTAATAGAGCTACCACATTGTTTATTTAGCCTCTGCTGTATGTGCTCAATGTACTTCAAATTTCATGTACCCCACAAAGGATCACAGTGGAATCTGGATCTCACTTTTAAAATGAAGTGCTGAGTCCCGGAAATTTATGCAACTTCCTTGAAAGTGTAGTTAGTGGGTAGTAAATCCAACACCCCATTCAGTATGCTCTCTTATACCACCATTACCCCTCCTGGGAAAGCCTTACATTCTGGGGACAACTATGTGTAAACATTATTAGTGAGGAGAAAAGATGACAGTTATGCTGACCTATTTCTTTTTTCAGGTTCAGTCATTTTTAGCATCACTTGATGGAGAGAAGCTGGAAATCTTAAAAAATGACCTAATTTCCATTAAAGACATCTTTGCATCCAAAGAATTAGAGAATGAAGAGGATAAAGCAGAACAAGGTAAAGGAAAATTATGCATAAATAACACACTGTTGACATAATTTTAAGAAACAGCTGCTAACAAGCATAGGACTCTGAACAAGATGGAATTATTTAAGTCCTCCTCCCCACTTTCAAAACATTCTGTGCATCTGCTCTTATTGCAGAAGATGATCACATTGATTCATAATCGTCTCCTCTGCTGGGTGGGAACTCCTTACCGGAGTCTTTATTTCTCCTGTGTCCAGAGTAACCCCTGCACATCCAAGGTGCACAATAAATGTGTGTGATTGCATGAGCAAGGAAGGCAATGCAGTAGCAGCTCTGGTGACTCACGTATGTGCTCCAGTGTCTGCTTTTTTATCTGCTTTTTTATACTGAATGTGATTGATGCTGATGGTGGGCACAACTTTTTTTTATATATAATTATATTTAATTTTTTATTTTCTTACAGTCATTGTACAGTATTTGATTTCTGCTCTCAGATGTAATCCCCATAGTACCTGATCCATCACTGTAGTACTTTGTACTTTTTCCTCCTGTGCTGACTACACTTCTTGTTCTTATGTATGCCTTGGATCTATGGTCAGCTTGCAAGTTTGGTCTTTTTTCCTGGCCCTTTGTTTGGTTTTTCTATATTTCACATATAATTGAAGTCATCTGATAATTATTATTTTCCTTCTGACTTACTTCACTTAGAATAATCCCTTCCAGCTCCATCCAGGCTACCACAAAAGACATGACTCTGTCTTTTTTCTTGCTGAGTAGTATTCCATTGTGTATACATGCCACAGTTTTTTGATCCATTCATCTGTTTTGAGACATTTAGGTAGTTTCTGTTCCTTAGCTATTGTAAATAGTGCTGCAGTAAACCTAGGAGTGCAGGTTTCCTTTCAAATGAGTATTTTTGTATCCTTTGGGTAAATTCCTAGGAGTGGAATTGTTGGGTCATGTTGTAGACCCATTTTTGTATTTTAAGGAACTTCTGATAGTGAGCAGATCTTTTAATGGACTTAACACACACACACACACACACACACATATATATGTGTATGTATGTATATACATATACATATACATATATGTAGTAGTTAGAGTTTATTTGTAAATGGCCTATATGTCACCCAAAAAGTGTAATTCTGCCCCAGACTCTTCTGTTTTTCCACAGTGCACACTCCTGATACTCTTTTTCCATTGTAATTAAAATCCTTCATCATTTGAATCTGAGTTAGCCAGAGACATCATTCTGGATATGCCTGGAATAGGAGACTAAAAGCTGATGGAGCCCTTCCCAAAAGGAGACATTTGAAGCAGGGACATTATCACACTGGTTTTAATGCAGCACCTGAGAACTGCCTCCCAGGTTGAAAGTGACCCTTTCCCAGTAACCAGCCAGAAAACAGCGATCCAGGCCATCAGCTACATTACCATGGCTCATAATCTCCCAGCCAGACAATGCCATGACTCCACAGATACCAGAACTGTGATGTGAGATGCAAGGCTTCCTTGCGTCAGTAGCTGTTCTCCAAGTTGGATAAGCTTAAAGATTCCCTTAGACTGTCCGTGGGGGAGAAGAATTGAGCAAAACATTTGCTGTGAACACAGATAATGATTTCTTACTGATATCATCACTAAGTACCACCCCCATAGTGGTCTCATGTATGCTATGCTGAAAAATCAACAGCCATGAACACACAAAGTAGCCTATTCTAGAATCTTGTGAAAAGTCCCGTTTGAAATATTTTCACCATCTGCTGTATCACCTAGAAGAAATTACATAACCGTCTGAAACTCAGTATCTGTACCTGTAACAGGAAGACAACACTTATTCCCAAGGGTAAGTAAAAGGTTCAATTGGATAATATAAGTAAAAGCATGTCTTGCAGTGGCTGGCACACAGAATTGCTGCCATTATTATTTAAAGTGCTAATACAATGGCAAGAAAATCGTAAAGGTACAATAAATGGTAGCTTTTATTTATGATTGCACTTGTTATTACCCACACACAGGGTCGTGATAATGTTCACTCAAGCCGTCGAGTTGCTGAAGGGTTTCTTTGCCCAGCGTGTTGTATACCTTTAATCAAAGCTGGAACTCAAGAGCTCAAATGTGTCAGTCTCAATGCTTAGGGCAAAATTATTTTAAGCATTTGCAGGCTGTCACTTAAATATCATCTTGTCTTTTGTCCCTGCATCCTGACCTTTGTGCCTGCAGTTTTAATGAAATGTATGCCCATTGCATCAAAATAGATGAAGCAATTATTCTGAAGCATAGCAAGAGACCACTATCAATGAGGCAGTTGAGGGATGTTTTTTGAGCATACAATCTGAAACATAAAATTTTGACAAAAGTCACAAAGGATAACGGCCTTGTTTTAATAACAAAGAAACTAAGACATTAACTGTGAAAGGTCATGCAGCTGGGTTGTGGAGCCAAGGTGAACTAATGCAGATGCCTTTTCTAGACTAAACACTCACCAAAAAGATCCAGGCTATTTGGTTTCATAGTACCAGAGGTAGATCTCAGTTCAGAAAGGATACAAAGGACCCTGAAGTCCCCCTAACACCAAAGAAGTGCAGCTACCCGTGCAAGTGAAGGCAGCTTGGCATCCCCAGCCAATGCTATTTCTTGGAGGGAAGATTTAATTCAATACTATTGAATATAGAATATGTCACTACATGGGATGTGTTCCAGTCTCACTGTAGATAAAGCTTCAGGAAGTTGAGATCTTTGAATATGACCCCCGCCCCCCAACAAAACTGATGAGCTGAGCATACTACTTAAGAAATGGTAACTTAATCTGTCCTGAAGTAACAGGCCCCTGTTATCTCCCCTAATATATCCATTTTCCTAAAGGGCATCTCAGATCCTCAAAATGCTCTTAATTTTAAATTAATAAACAATATCATTCAGACACTTAAAGAACAGCCAAGAGAAAAGAGCAGTGAGGTGGTCGTTACATCGGCCCACTTGTGATGAAGGGTCGCAGCCCAGGAAGGCAGCGAGCTCACCCACACGCTGTGGGGAGGAATCCTCTCAATGGGGCTGGACCCACAATCCCGTGCTGTAAGTCTGGATCAGGAAGAAACCAAAGCATTTCATCAGATATTTTTCCCCATAAGCATTTGTATTTCTAAAAGTTTCCTAATACCTAAATAATTTATTTAATAGTCTCAGAAAATGTATAAACCCATTTTTGTATAAATTTAATATCCACTTCCTCTGCATTTCATAATGTTGGCTAATGATTGGCATGCTTATCTTTCTAGCAGTGTGATTTTATCAGATTTCTGTGGGTCTCTAATTTGTTTTATTTCTGTTGCAAAGAGGTTTTCAGTGGCTATTTCCTATTATCGCTGCCAGGTGACCATCCAGTTGGCATTGTGTACAGACCCATTGTAGTAAAGTAGGTATTCTTTGTTGCCCCATTTTTATCATCAATTTCTGCCTACTTCCATGTTTCTCTTGATTTTTTTTTTCCTTGAAATATTTGCCAGAAGTCACTAGTGTATTTCCTTGTTCTTTGGAATGAATGCACATCTAAAAGCTGGAGAAGCTGCCCAAATTTGTGCACGAATTTAGTGCTGACCACTCCTGGACACTTTGCTTTTCTTTCTGCTTTTGTCTTTGTCACAGCTATCAGTATAATGACATAAACCTTTAGTGCTTATAAAATACGTTCACATTTGTTGTATTATTTGGTCCTTACAGCAGTGCTAAAAAGGAGAATGGTGAGTCCTACATTTACAGAGGAGTGGAAGCTAAGGCTGCGTGTGGCCTGGGCGGCTCACAGGAGCCATACACGCAGGGGTTGGGGTGGAGCCCACGGGCTCCCGCTCAGCACAGGTCTCTTCCGCCCTGGCGTCGCTTCATATGGAGTAAGGAAGACCCACAGTTTGGAAATGAGGCCTGGTCGTGTTATAGGGCACCCCAAATCTGTTCCAGAAAGGGGGAGAGGGACACCCCTGAAGCCCCAAAGCCTGCCTGCTCTAAGTGGGTTCTGCCATCCGCCGCGTCAAGACAAAAGGGATTTTAATACAGTGAATATACAATACGGAACACAAAGAAGATAACTTCTAAATCAAACACCTGAAGTGACCCAACCCCTCGTGGGCAAAAGTCAACCCAAAAGGGATTGGCCCAAAGCAAGGCCTGAAAGCTGCCACAAGACTAAAGCACCTTCTGGCCGGGACCCATGGAAAAGGGTCAAAAACGGCCAGACAAACCTGGGAGGAAAAGAGCAAAATCAAAATCAATGTAAACACTGCCATTGTCACCTCCCTACAGGTTTCTCACCACATCTGCCTTAACCAGTCCAGGGTCAGGAAACAAGCCTGGTTTCTTCCTCACATGGTTGCTGCTCCATGTGGCTTCCTCAGGTCTCCTAGCTCTCCATCCTGCTCCCTTCTCTTCTCTCTCCTCTTCTCTCCTTTTTCTCTGCTCAGCTCCACCCTCCTTCTGGGTGGGGCAGGGAACCTGGAACTTCCCTTTTTCCTAGGGACCACCCTGTTACAGTCCTGCCACTCAGAGTCTCTCCCTCTCATTTTCACCCACTCTGAGAGGGTGAGATCAAGACCTCCGCTTGCAGAGATGGGGAATTCTGCTTTGGATGGAATCTTTCTCCTCTGCCTTTCCAACCTAACTCTCCCGTCAGCACGGAACCAATGCCATGTCATTCTCAAAGACGCTTCAGGCATCACTTCCTTCCAGAAGCCTCTGATTACCTTCTGAAAACTGTACTGTGTAAAAATATCCTCCTGAGGAACACTTCCCTCTGGGTTCTGTGCTTTGATTGTGTCAGTGTCATCTTTTAAAAACAAAAGATTTATTTTATTTATTGATGCATACAAGAATGGGGTCCAGGCCAGAGAGGCAGCCTGGCCCCAAGGCACACACCTTCTTCCCCTGAGGGGGTCATTTAGCTGAATCAAGTTACAGTCCTCCCACCTTTGTCTCTGCCTGGGAGACTCTTCCTCACCACCCCCACCCTGCTCTCCACTAGTGTGGTTTACCCCTCTCTTCATCAATCAGCTCATTACTCAAGTGGCACCTTCTTGACCACCCTCCCACTTAAAATCCCCAGCCCCAGTCATCCCTAGGCCCCTTCCTCGATTTCTACTTCTCTTGAAAACGTATCACTGACATGCACATCTTAACCAATTTTGTTTATAAAAACCTGTCTCCACCCTGAAAAAATACAAATCCTGATAAACTGATTAAACCCAAAGTTTTGAACAAAGACCCAGAAGTTTGACCATGATGGTCTCTGCAAGCTGCTGATTAACTGATCTGTAAACAGAAGGAGCCTGGTTAGACAGAGGATTAGATTCAGTATTTACAACACGGCTTGTTCCTCCCTAAGCCACTGCTTTTACTTAGGGATAGAGATAATATTTTTTCTCAGAGGATTTTGAGATCAGCAGGTCAGATTAGTAATGTTTGTTTCCTTCCTGCCAATAAAAAAAAGCCAGTGGTAAGCCATTGTGGAGTCAATTCTTTGGTGCTTATCAGAAACTCTACAAATGTACTCAGCTTGTAAATACAGGTCAGAGAAAGAAGATTGGAACTTTAAAAGATCTCCTCTTGCCCACCAATGGTACTAGTTTTTTAAAATTTTTGGTTATACATTACATTAAATTACATATTAAATAATTTTTAAATAAATTATTTATTCAACAAATATTCCTGTTAGCATTTAATATGTCCCAGGCATTGTGTTAGATGCTTATTCAGGAATGAGCAAAATAAATACCATCTCTGTCCTTAAGTAGCTTCCAGTCTGGATGGAAGACATATTAAAAAATATGGTGGGGCCAGATAGGTGTCTAGGAAACCTTAGGAAGATCCTCCAGAGACGTGATGTGGTTACGTCAGCTAGCACACGACCCATTGGGACTCATTCTGCTGGCTCAGTGCTATGGCTCTGGGATGTGAAAGGCGTCCAGGGTATCATTAGGGTCGCAATGCTGAACACAACATTCTCGGGTCATAAATGGCACGTGGTCCTGTTCGCAGGCCTGAGCAAGGCCATTTATGTGCTCAGTCATTCTTAACAGCTACTAGCTGCTCACCACCTATGGCTGTGAACAAAATGGGGTGAGCCCCTCCCTTTCCCTGGTGGCCTTTGGTGCCACAGGGCTTCCCCTTCTAGAGTGTGAGCTGCAGGGCTTCGCACCTCTTGCCTAGCAGGGCCTGCTACCCCACCACCTTGCTCAGACTGAGCAAAGCTCACCCCTGCCCAGCACTTGGGGGACAGACTGCTGCAGTCCCCACTGACCAGGGCTGATAGGGCTGGGTGAGCTTGCTGCATTCTGAAGGATCAAAAATAAATCATGCTTCCTACTTCTGTCATTTTCTATATCTAGGCTTAGAAGAAAAAGGAGAAGAATTCGCCAGCATGCTTACAGAACTTCTCTTCGAATTACATGTTGCGGCCACGCCTGACAAACTCAATAAGGTCAGCACCATATGAGTCTGAGTTTTTGTTATGTGAAAAACAAAGGTTTCTGTTGTAAAATTCCAGAGGTCACACCGGAAATGGAAAAACCCCAACCCCCAAGTGGCACTTGGGGGGACCGAAGTCTGAGGTCAGTAATTAGGATCTGAGGAAGCAACATAATGAATGTAATGGTGGCGCGTCGCCACTCAGGGTCAGGCCTGCATTTTAGTTGCAGCTTCGCTAGTAATTACCTTGTGATCTCCAACAAGTCACTTCTTAAAATAGAATTTTCTATCAGAACAGTGGTGATCTTCGCTCAGGGGGATCTTGAGAGGCAGATTCACAAGGGGCTTTTCCATGTCGCATGTCCCCTCCCCTCTTGAGAATGACATGCCAGGCTTGCAGTCAGAACGACAGCAGGTGGACTGTGCCCCCGTCCCTCCCCGAATGCTGTGCTACCTCAAATCTAAGAGCATTGCCTGGAATCGGGAATCTGGGGTCCACAGTGCGTTTTGCCAGTTAATATAGATCTTGCTTTGGAGTTGCTTAATGAGGACACTGGTCATAAGGTAAATTAAAACCATGTTTATTTTTCCCACTCTTTTCCCCCCTTCTTTTTTTTTTTTTTTTTTTTTTAGTGAGCAGTGGTTAGCACAGGCCCTCAATTTTCAGGGTGGATGAGGAAAGGGCAGAATGAGGCAGTGAGGTGGAGAGATGAGGAATTTCTCTATCTGTGATAGAGGTCATGGATTCTGGTGGGTCAGTGACTTGAACACAGTGGGAAATTGGCTCATTCATCTCCATGTGGCACCTGCCACTGCTTGGGGGTGATGGGGGGAGAAGGGGGAGGCTCCCAGGTCCCTGGGCCTATTTACACAGCAGGTAAACCTGTGTCCCTACAGGAGGACACACCAAGGATAGTTCTGTTGGTTTTGTCACCCCAAATCTTGCTGTTAGCTTGTCCTCAACACTCTGACATGCTAAACTTTGACATGTAAGCTTCGGCACACGAACTAAGTTCAGAAACAGCTGTCCTTTGAGCAAACAGCTTAAACTCGAACACTGAAAGCTGGACAAGCCTGCCCTCTCAGCACTCAGGGCTAACCGATGAGCCGGGTTTTCGGCCTGTTCCATTTAGCCATGAATTTTCAGGCCCCAGGTTGCTCAAACGGCACTCCGGGCGGGCTAGGTGGGCTGCGTGCCAGGGCTTCCCAGCAGTGCTTGGCTCGACCCCCGACGGGTGGGAGATCTGGCCTGAACAGCAGAGCACAACCATCCCTCACCCTCCTGTTGATCCTTCCTGAGAGGTGTGAAACATCAAGAGCTTCATGAGTTCTAGCAGATGAGGAGATTTGCTTTAGCAGTGACCCTGCTGGTTTTCTAACCCACATCTGGATATACCAAGGACTGTTACTCTTACCATTGGTTGTTAAAAGTGAAAACTATACTGTCCATCTTTCAAGATGGTGATCATTTTTATTCATATCTGAATAGCATTTTAGAAAGCTTTTTTAAAAGGGCTGAGCCCTGGGCCCTCCCTAGTGGCGCAGCGGGTTAACGTACAGCACTAAGAAGCTTAAGCCATTTCTACATGAGTTCGATCCCCGCCAGCCCCAGAGGGGATCCAAATGGCGCAGCAGCCCTCTCCTGACCCGCCCACTGCTCCCCTCAGCAGTGTACCTCGTCAATCTGCCTGTTCTGCTCCCCACTCTGTCTCTGGTGAACCCTCCGCATCTCTGGCCTGTACCCCACTTCTGTATGAATAAGTAAATAAACCTTAAAAAATAAAAAAGGGCTCAGCTTTACACTGTTTCCTCCATTCCACTCATCCAATTCTGTCCCTTTTTCTTCTGGCAAATTTATGTTCGCCAGAAAGCAACAAGGTGTTTTTTTAAAAAGATTTATTTATTTGTGCATACAAGAACTGGGGTATAGGCCAGAAGTGAGAGGATTCATTAGAGACAGAGTGGGGAGCAGAACAGGGGGATCTACTGAAATACACTGCTGAAGGGAGCAGCAGGTGAGACAGGAGGGGTCTGCTGCGCCATGTGGGTCAGCTCCCTGGCTGGGGATTGAACTAATGCTGCAGTGGCTGGTGATAGCCTGATAGTACTGAGACTTAACCCTGTGCCACCAGGGAGGCCCCAGAGACAAGGTGTTTTTATGGAAGTTAAGGACTTCCATCAACACCCTGGTAGGCTTATGGCATCTTGACCTTAGTCTTGGGGCTGGAATTTCTTGGTTATATTTACACAATAAATGCATGACACTGTGGGGGCCTTGCAGGCCATGAAAAAAGCTCATGACTGGGTAGAAGAAGATCAAACCACAATGTCAGTAGATGTGGCAGAAGAGTCGGAGGAGAAAACTAAGATGGAAGAAAAAGAAAAGATACCTGAACACCCCGAAGAACACAAAAAGGAAGAAAGAGTGAAGACGGTTGAGGTAAAGTTCATTTTAGAGTGGTCACCTATAAAGAGTACTATTATGTCAACTTTTGTTATCAGCCTAATGTTAAGTGAAGAGGCCATTCATTTTCATTTGTAAACTGTCCCACATGATAGAAATATGAGCATTAATGCAATAAACACTGAAATTTCTCTATGCCAAGACAATTCGTGATAACATAGATATTGTAGTTTTTCTCCTTAGCTTTATAATTATAATCTAACAGGAAAAAAATCCCTAAGATCTTTTTTTAGGGTAAATTTCCATCTTCTATGCAAATTTGTAACTATAAAATGTCTTTATGCCCTATAACTAATGAGGTAATTGAAGCTTTTTCAAAAAACTTTCATAGCTGCGGCTTTTATTCTGTAGTTTAATACCTTTATGTATGCGTGATTTATCTCCTGCCTCTGTTCAAAATGAGTTTGCAATAATTTCATTTTACACTGAATTTTAATTTTAGAAAAAGTAACTTTTAAAATGAGGTTACTCCAAAGAGAAATGGGTATTGACGTCTCTTCATTCAGTCTCCCTCCCACACATGCCTACCGAGATGTGCCTGGCTTTGATGGGTTGGGGGTGGGACAGGCATGGGAAGGGGGTGGCTGGGCTGTGAAGGACCCCTGCCAAGTCTCTAGGGCGCAGTGGTGCTTCCATTTCCTCTTAAAAAACTCTTCGATAAACCCATTAACTTTTAGATAAACTTTTTTCAGATTATATTTGTTCCCCTCCCCCCCCATGGATTATATAATTTTTTAAATATCATGGTTTTTTTTTTTTTAAGATTTATTCGTACAGAACTGGGGTACAGGCCAGAGATGTGGAGGGTGAGAGGATTCACCAGGACAGAGTGGAGAGCAGAACAGGCAGATTCACGAAGTACACTGCTGAGGGGAGCAGCAGGGTGGTCAGGAGAGGTCTGCCACGCCATGTGCTCACCTCCGGCTCATGCGGAAGTGGCTTAAGCTTCTTCGTGCTGTGCTTTAACCCGCTGCGCCACCAGGGAGGGCCCTATCATGGGGTTTTTAAAAACATCTGTTAAAATTTTGGAGGTCATGGATGAGTTTATGGACTTGATGTGGTAATGGAGTCCAGGGACATACTTATGCCCAGAGTTACCAAGTTGGGTACATTACCTATGTTCATTATGTATGTTCAGCTTTTTGTACGTTAGTCATACCTCAATCAAGTTGTTGACAATAGTTTTTAAGCATCTGTTTGGTGAGCAATTTACTTACCTGCATGTATTTCTTTAGGATATCTGCATGCTATCCATTGAAAGTCTGGCAGAAGTCACAGCACGCTGTATAGAACAGCTTCATAAAGTAGCTGAATTAATTCTTCATGGACAAGAAGAAGAAAAATCAGCTCAGGATCGAGCAAAAGTTCTGATAAAGTAATTGCTACCAAAAATTTAAGCTTTAAATCAACTAATTCCGTTGTTCTATGACATCTTAAGAAATAAGAACTCTTCTAAGAACTTAACCATGTTAGTAAGAAAAATATTCATTAACTAGACATTCCAGGAATTATTTATGAAGGGATTTAAGGGAAGACATACTAAATCATTTAGAGCTAACTGATTTTGGGGGGTAATTACATTTTCAATATACTGCATGAACAGAGAAAGGTCACCTTAATACAACTTGTCAGTTGACGTCACAAAAATAAGCAAACGCCTCCCATCTCACCCCGGCCCCATTGTTCTAGAGACTTGCACTAGCTCTGCATATTCTGAATTCAAGGTATAATGGTTGCCGCTGTAAGCTTGCACACATATTACATGTGTGTGCATATGTCCTGTCACATGTTCTTCAATAGATAGGACTTATTATAAGTTTATCTAGTGAAAAATGTGTATATATGTAACTTAATATACATGAAGGTAGTTATTCTGGAGTTTTCATTAAGATAGCTGACATAAAGCTGAAAAATAGACCATTAACTTTTATTTGCCTAATGTATGTTATGATGCAGAAAACCACACAAGCCCAAATACCCTCTCATTGTTACATAGATGTAGGAACCCCTAAGGTCACTATGAGAATTACATCTGTGCACACATACAAGAGTACTTAACAGAGACCTCAGTAAATGTGCATTATTATTAAAAAATGATTAAGAACTGGAGCAAAGCCACTTGGCAGGTAGCCTATACGCCTCCCTATATATGTGAAGCCCAAGCCTGGTATTTTCCTGCATGCGCTTCTGATTCTAAAAAGAGATAGTGTGAGCTCAATGATTATTCTCTAATTAAGCATGCAGAAAAAGGATTAATTTAAACTGATTGTGAATCACAGAAGAATGCTGAAGAAAACATTTCTATGGAGCATCTTCAAACTTGTGTTCTGTTCCTTTCCATGAATATTTTATAGAAAGTAGTCATTGTCTTGACAGTTAAATCATTGTATATTATTGAAAACTTCTTTTTTCCTCACTTACAGATTAACTACTGCAATGTGCAATGAAGTACTCTCATTATCAAAGAAGTTTATGAATTCTTTAACCACTGCTGGGGTAAGATGATAAGATTGATTGCTTTTTCACCCTTTTTTTTTTTAATTGAAATAATGTTGCCTAAGATGTGTTGGTATTTTGGAAGCATGGATCCCCACTTCAGATACAGTTATGATAGTGCACCCCCCACCAAATCACCATGGTGCACCCAAGAGCCCATTGTGCTGGCCTCGCTTTGTTCTCATCCCTCATCCCTCCCCCATCTTGATGTTTCCCTGCAAGTCAGCTTTCAAGGGTTAGTTTGTAAGCTTTTCTTCAGCTGACCCTGAGTTTGGTTTCACTATATTCCACATGTAAGTGACACCACCTAATGTCTATCTTTCTCTTTCTGACTTTCTTCACTTAGCATGATTCCTTCCAGCCCAATCCATATAGCCACAAATGGCATGAGTTTATCTTTTTTATGACAGAGTAATATTCTGTATATATACCATCTCATCTGATCTACTCATCTGTTCTGGGGCACTTAGATTGTTTCCAATTTTTACCTCTTTAATGACGATAGGTCTGTCTGGTGCTGTGAGGAGCAATTTAGAAGCTGCAAGGCCTTTTTTGATAACTCTACACACAGAAATTCTACTGTGATGTTTACAGTGTTGGGGCCAAGAGTACCTTTCCTAACTGCTGGCAAGTTAAAGATGCATCCGACTGGCTTCTAGCCCTGGCTCTACTACTTCAGAGATATGGGCACTGGGTAGTTTTCAACCTCTCTAAGGCTCATTTTCATTACTTGTTAAAAAAGTGTCAAATGCAGATACCTTCTATTAATACCTGCTATTAATATATAATTTAAGAATCTCTATTAAGATGAATTAACTTTGAATAATCGCCTTCCTGTTGCCCTCAAAACCATTTTAATAAGTCACACAAGATAAAGAACACTCTTTGCTTTATTATTACACTTCAGATTTAATCAAAAGACAGAAATTACCAGTTGGCCTAAGTGTTTCTGTTCTTCAGGTAACAATTCAGCATTCATGTGAATGTGTGATATCTGGTTATTTTCTTTTAGATATTTTGTGTAATCTCATCTTAGTGGGATCACTGAAGATAAATGGAACATAGTCCTTTTTTTTATATATATAAGAACTGGGGACAGGCCACATGTGCAGGGGGTGAGAGCATTCCCCAGAGACAGAGTGGGGAGCAGAACAGGCAGATTGACTGAAATACACTGCTGAGAGGAGCAGTGGGTGGGACAGGTGAGGTCTGCCACGCCATGTGGGTCAGCTCCCTGGCCAGGGGTCAAACTCATGCTGCAGTGACTGTGGATAGCTTCACAGTGTTGCCCTCTAACCCCTTGCGATACCAGGGAGGCCCTGGAACATATTCTTTTTAGACTTTTTGCTTTTTTTATACAGCCCTGGATACAAGGGAAGATGATTCTGAAGCAGCAAGTTGCATCTCCTGTTTTAAATTTGTGTTTTTTGGTTGTGTATGTATTTATCTCCTAGAGCTGCTATAACAACTAATACAAACTGCGTGGTTTAAATAAAAGAAATGTATTGTCTCATCTTCTGGAGTCTGAAATCAAGGTGTCGGCAGAGATTCCTAAGAAGCCTCTAGGGGAGGGTCCAGGCCCTGGCGGCCCCCAACAGGCAGGGTTGATGGAGTCTCTTTCTCCATCTTCACCTTGTCCTGCCTTTGTGAATGTCTGTGTCCAAATTTTCCTCTTGTAACAAAGACAACAGTCATAATGAATGAGGGTATGATCAAAATGAACTTATCTTAAAACCAATTACATTTGCAATGACCCTATCTCCAAAATAAGTCACATTCTGTACTAGAAGTTAGTATTTCAACATCCCTTTTAGGGAGCCAACACAATGCAACTCATAACAGGAACAAACAGAAACAAGCTCTAAATCATTTAGAAAGAAGCAGGATTTTTCTCAAAAATTTATATATTTTTAAGATTGAGTTATTTGTGCATACAGAACTGGGGGTTAGGCCAGAGGTGCAGGGGCAGTGAGAGGGTTCACCAGAGACAGAGTGGGGAGCAGAACAGGCAGATTGATGAAGTACACTGCTGAGGGGAGCAGCGGGCGGGTCAGGAGAGTTTTGCCGCGCCATGTGGGTCAGCTCCCTGGCCAAGGATCGAACTGGTACTGAAGCAGCTGCGGCCAGCTTCATAGTGCTGGGCTTTAACCTGTTGCTCTACCAAGGCGGGCCCTCTCGAGTTTTTTAAATTTGTCAGTCATTTACATGACTAAGTAGTTTGGGGGATATACTTTCACACCTCTCACCCTCTCTCAAAGCTGCCTCCTAATGCCCTTTCCCCTTCTAGCTCCTCTCCCCTCCTTCTCTCTGCTCCCCACCATCCCTGCGTTCCTGATAAGCAGTATATTCAGAATCTACAATTAATTTTGCTGTGCTTCGCCAGTTTTTTTTCTTTGGTTATTTATATTCCACAAATAAGTGAAACCATCTGGCATCTGTCTTTCAATTTCATTTTCTTTCACATTTGATGTAAAAAATCAGCTTCTGACTTATGTCACTTCGCATCATCACCTGCAGGTCCATCCTTATTGTCCCAAAGGCATTATTTCACCTTTTTTACTAGTTGAGTAGTACTGCTGCATTGAGTCTGTATCCCACAATTTCTTTATCTCTTCATCTAGCATTGGACACTTAGGCTGATACTGTGTCTGTGCTATTATGAATAATGTTTCTTTTAATACAGGAATGCATAAATCTTTTCATATTAGTGTTCTCATGTTCTTTGGATAAACATTTTGGACAAATATTTAGTGGTTTTTCTGGCTTTGATATATAGTGTTTACTGTTTTTTAAATTGTTTAAATATTTATTTATTTTATTTTGTAGAAGAATTGAAGTACAGGCCAGAAGTACCAGGGTGAGAGGATTCACCAGAGATTGAGTGGGGAGCAGAACAGGTGGATGTACTGAAATCCATTATTAAGGGGAGCAGTAGTCAAGACAGGTGAGGTCTGCTGAGGGTCAGCTCCCTGGCCAGGGATTAAACTCCAGCTGCAGAGATGATAGTGCTGAGACAACTGTAGGCCACAAGGGAGACCCAATATTTACTCCTTTTTAAGGTATCTCCATACTATTTTCCATAGAGGCTGCACCAAATCTTATGGATATAAAGGACAGTGGAGGAAAGTAAGCACTTTCCTATTAAAGTGACTCAGCTTTACCAATTCCCAGACCTCTTTGTCTCTTCATTCAAGTTTCTGGGAAGAGGTTTGAAAGGCTCATCAGTGAGAATCAGATATCCAACCTGATCGTTCTCCACAGTGATTGGAAAGGGGTCACATCATGTAGACCTACCTGACTGCTAGGGTGCCCCTCCCTTCCCCCCCCCCTACCTCCCGCCCCCCACCCCCCAGCCAAAGGCAGTTCTTAAAAGAAATGGAAATGATTCTGGATCTGCCTGTCCAAGATACATGTGCCTGGCACTTCCGTAAATGACTCATCTAATGGGAGGAAGATACATTTCACCTTTTTGTTCAGTTGTCAAAGAGTCTGGTTTGCTTCTGCTATTTTGTGAAACATCCAATGTTATCCCTTCAGCAGTAGAGTTTCACAGTGTGCAGGAGAGTGAAGGCGGAGGTGGAGTTTGTTGACACAATAGGCCCCATTAAATGCATTGTTTTCAGTGTTGTTCAAGGGAACTTGCCTATGGACTGAGGTGTTAGCTATCAGGCTCCCAGACACTGTTAATCAGGGTGGAGTGGTCGGAGTGACCCAGCTTCCCCAGATCCCCAGTAACCCTCTGCTCACTCTGTCCACACAGTTCACTGGGAGAGGAAATTGAGGCCCAGAACTGACCCCCACAGGGTCTCAGTCAGTCTCGATTCCCAGTGGGGTGACCATTGGACGCTCCAGCTAGTCAGCTCCTCAGCTCCCTGTGGAGATGTATGTGTCTGCTCATGTGTGTGTTTATGTCATATGATTCGTGTTCATTTTCTTTTATATTTGCGGTAAAGCTCACGGTATTGCTGTCCATCCCTTTTTGAAATGTTGTGCTAGATCCAATTCAATGCTTCTCAAACCTTGATGTGTGCGCATGTCGCTCAGAGAACTTGTTGGAATGCAGATTCTGACTTGGTGAGTCTGCGAGATGATTCTGCATTTCTAACAAATTTCCAGGTGACAACAATTCTCTGGATCCACAGTCTGCATTTTGAGTAGCAAAGCTGTAGCAGATGGGAGTGTAGTGAATTAGATATACATATGTATAATCTATCCATATACACACTACACAGACACATCATTCATACGTGTGTACAAATGTTTGGGAACGAAAAATCAAGAGGACCCACATTAGCATTTTTGGACAAAGCAAAGCTAAATCTAAGGAGAGTTTACTGAAAAGTGGTCTCAGCACAACAATGCCCTTCATCTTGTGCCGTGATGAATCATTTACATCAAGTCGTTGTTTCTGTCCCCTAAAACAGCCATTATTCATAACTTGAAGTTAATGAGTGTCTATTGCTCTCCAGACTCTATTTAAATTGCCTACACATCTCATTGATTCTGAAAACCAATGTCATGTTATTGTTCTCATTTTGATTATATTTTAGAGGTTTATTGATAATCAAATAAACATGAAAGCAAATACCATAATGGATTTCCATGTTACTTACTAAAATGACTGGGTTTTTAAAAAGGTTTTTCCCAAGACTCCATTATGGTTTCCCCAATAAAACATTACTTTGACCTCAGTGATGTCAACAAAGGGGGTTTCTTTGAATGGATAGATTTCATTTATAGACTTGTGTTTACCATAAAGTCTTCTGGGCATAGTGCGGGAAACCAGTCTATTAAAGTTGCCCTTTCTCTTTCCAGTGCCTTTAATTATTTATTGTCTAAGAGTACATAGGACATTATAGATAATATAATTGATTGATAGACCAATAGTGGAAATAGTGATGATGATGCTAATGCAGCCTCTCACTCTTTGACCACCTACTTTATATCAGATTCCATTCTGTGTTTGACATATATTCCTGTTTTGCAAACAAGGAACTCTACAGATCTGTTGGCAGCTTAAACTTAAGTGTGTTTTAATTCTGCTGCTGATCTAGAGACACAGTATGACCATGTACTCATGTTTACATTTAAAATAAGAAAAAAGACTACTTACAGATCAGAACTAGAACTAGGGTAGGTGAAGATAGTACATATTTTAATCACCCACAGAAAAACACAAACAACCTCGGGCATCTATCTAGACAGATATTTTAAGACAAATTTCAAATATTAATTACTTTTTATTGTAGTAAAATATATAAAATGTTAAATTTACCATTTTAACCATCTTGAGCAGTTTGCTTTTGCAGTGTTTATTTTTGCCTTTGTTTTCCATGCTGCAGAAGACACAAAGACTTATATCAGTGAGCGTACCGTCTGTTTTCCTCTATATGTTTTATGGTCTCAGGTCTTATATTCAAGTTTTTCATCCATTTTGAATTAATTTTTGTGAATAGTGTAAGATAGTGGTCAAAACTAGGTAAGCTTTAATTTAAAAGATTTGATTTTAAATTTCTAGGTATGTGACCTGAACAAATTAATCTGTTCCTACCCTCCTTCTTCCCTCCTATGATTTCCGTCCAAATTAAATGAGATCATATAGAGTAAGCACCAAATACAACATCTGGTCTACAGTAAGAGTGTCAAGTAAGAGCATCAGTTCTCCTTTTTTGCAATGAAAAACAGCTAATTCAAGTTGCTAAGATATTTTATAGTAAGACAACCTTGCTTACACCCAGAGTCTGGACATTCAAAAAGGATCTGCATGTAGATTCTCATTACAGTAATTGCTTTGCTTTTCCTGGGGCACCTTTCAAAATAACCACTGAGAGTTGAGCCCAGGAAAAGATAGTGACCATTGCCCCTCCCACCTTTTAGTAATAAGAGTTTGCTACTCTGCTGTCTCTTTCCTGCTTGTGACTGGGACAGGGGACGACTCTTCCCGTGGCTCATCTGTGCCCCACCGCTTCCATTTCTGGTATCTGTAAGGAATAAATCTTGTGACTCAACTTCTTTTATGAGAGTGTGTTGAAACTGCCTTGAATCACAACAGCCTCGGGTTTCACTTCCTCGAAGTGGGAATGCCAATGCTACATCTTCTGACCATATGTGGTGGTCGTCTCCCTCATTTTGAAGGTCAAGATTACTTAGCATACTAGCTGTGGATCCCTCAACACAATCCCCTTCCCCTCCAGGAGATTCCTCTACAAAGCTGGCATGTCATATTTTATGTAGCAAGTCTTGTAGTTTGTGCATCTAATCTGTCAATTTCATCCTTTTGATCCACAGGCCGACAAGAAGGCGGAGGTCCTTAACCCCATGATCGATAGAGTATTGTTAGAGGTAAGTGGACCCTGAAGAGAACATGCTACTGAATCAAAACAAATGTTACCACTATATTTTGTTGGTTTTTGTTTGTTTGTTCGTTTTTTTTTTGTCTTTCAGGCATCAGGTCTTATTGCAATTCTAAATGTTATCATCAATAGTCTTTTTTTTTTAATAGATTTGTGTAGCTCAAACAGCTATAAACCCTTGGGTGAAAGAACAACATTTAATGTTCAAGAATTTCTGATTATAAAGACAAATGCTATGTAGACACATTATTTTTGTCACTGTTTCAAACTGCCACCATGACACCAGATTTAATACCATGATTATTGGCTGCAGTCAGGGATTCTTCTCAATAGTGATTTTCGTAAAGATGGGCACTTGTCTCCATTCACACTAACCTTTGCATTATCTGGTCTAAACTCCAGATTGAAAAAATTGACAGGTAGGGTGTTTAGCCTCTACTCTCTCTGTGACCAGAGGACACATCTCTGTGGCCTCTCACTCCATGGCCTCTCCTCACCTTAGGACTTGGTGGACCCCATGCTGCCATGACTCTGCCAGAAGCAGGATAAGAAAGAAGACTCAAGAAGCATCCCCATGCTTGAGTCATAGTCACTGTGTTCCACCAGTAGATGGGAGAGGAAAACTCTTCCATTAGGGACTAGACTCTTAAGAAGCGAACACATCTGTAGCCAAAGTATTACCCAGGGTGTTAACAAATTATGTGTGAACATGGGTAATGCCCATCCAGTAGTTTCCTTCTGTCTGAAGTAGCTGTCAATTGCAAAACTTGGAAATGACCAAACTTCCATGTTAGAGAGGGTTGTCTATAAATTTATGGCAGTATTTCTAGGAGGTGTGCCTTACCATTAAGAAAACAACAGAGGTACAGTAGTTACGGTAATAACTGGTAGTCCCCAGTGTGATTGTTTAGGGTGTAGCCACATAGTAGGGTGAAGTTGACCAGAAGGACAAGGAGCTTAGGGGAAAGACCTAGGGAACAGCAAAAGCTAAGAAGAAATCGGAGGCAGAATAAGAAACAAAACCAATATCTTCTGTGGCTGCCCAGAAGGGCTTTAGCAGAGAAGTTACCGAAGTCTTGAAGAATATGAGGCCAGACACTCACACATTCTCCCAGCAGTTCTCTTCAACTTTGCATGGCCCCTCTGGCCCCTCTGTCGAATACAGTCTGCTAGGGCAGCACAGAACACGAACAGCAGTGTTAAATGTCTGAACCAAGCCAGAGGAGCCATTGTGCATGGATTTGCCATGAATAATTATACAATAATACCTCAGTTAGCCTGATGGAGACCCTTCTTGCTTTTTGGTCTCAAGATTTGTCCATCGATAGGTCCAGACAAGCTAGAGCCTCTTCATACCCTGTGTTACTTCGGGGCAGTTGGTCGATCTAGGAAGAGGGTGGGCAACACTGGACATGTTGGGGCCTGAGTATACACGAGTGTGCAGTCTAAAAAGCCTTTAAGAGGACACCCCTCATTCTGAGTGAATTCCTTTCTCAGTGAGCAGTGATCATTTAGAGCTGGACATACTCAATCCAAGGGAGTCTGTTTACATTTGCTTTAATCAACAACATTACAAGAAGAATGCAGTAAACTGTGTAAGATGTGGGGAGAGAGACCATTAAAAAGTTGGAAAACTTTTGTCAGGATTGAACTTTGAAAGTTGGGTGATTATTTTTCCGTGTCTGCCCCTCAACTTCTCATTGCCCACGTGTGCCCTCTCCTAGGGCTGCAACAGCACCACCTACGTGCAGGATGCCTTGCAGCTGCTGCTGCCTGTTCTGCAGGTCTCACACCTCCGGACCAGCTGCTCGGGAGCACAGCCGTGACCTGGCCAGACTCCGTGGCGCGAAGGAGCTGCGGGCCTTGCTTTGGCACCTGCCATTTAAGGGGCTGTTTTTACCTGCCGATGCCCACTGATGACACTACCGCAATTTGCACAGACAAGTACAGAGAATCCAAGTGTAAAGAGAGGATCATTACTGTTCATGTATATGGTTGTTTTACAGATAACTGTTTTCTTTGTGCTAATTTAAACCTACACAATTTTGTATTGATTACCTGTTAACTGAAATTCATTCACAAATATCCCCTTCCATTTTCATGGTCAGGCACACTCTATTTAGGAATTCATGGGCAGAACCTGAACATTTTTTTAATCCGTTAAATGTCCACCTTACATCGCCCATCCTTATAGTAATACTTTAAATCAGTTGTCATGGATATGTAGATTCACAGATCATGGTAAAAGAGACCTAAGCTATTCTTTTCAGTCATTCATTCTCAAAATGAGCATTCTTTGAGCACCTAGTGAATGCTCACGTTAGAGAAACATGGTCTCACATGTTAGTAGAGACAGACATTCTGAAAGTATTTATAATAATTCTTAATATGCTTGAAAATATTAATAAAGTTTCTAAACCTTAAAAAATATGGATGATTGGATAACTTTGGTGGGTTTTTCAATATTCTGCTCTTCGATTTTTCGTATTTTCTATACTCCTTAAACTTTTCATCCCAAATTTACATACAGAGTGAAAATACATATGAAAAGTGGTACTAAAAAGTATTTTGTCTAAAATTCTAATGCCCAAAAGTACGTGGCTAGCATAATTACAAAGCTTGGGAGTATTCAAATAGAAAAGTAAAGGGGTGTCACCAGAGACCCCTGGACTGCACTTTCTTTAGTGTGCATTTTTAAAGTTGAATCAAGCTGCTCTGTGAATCCACAGATAACCCCTGCTGGTCACACATACTATCATTGCTTCTAAAGACCCGAACATACCAATGTGTGGGTTGGTGTGTGTGTTATATTGATCCTTTAGTGGCACAGAAAAGACCCTGTGTCCTGGAGAGGCACGGCCGGTGTGTTCCTCTCCTGAGCTCTGCAGAGGCTTCCAGGTGAGGGCACTGTGAAGGCTTCTAGTTCAGAGCCCCAGGACCTCCCTGGCTCTCTGGCACATGTCTTACCCAGTTGCACCCCAAAGCAGATAAAATCTGTATCTTTTCAAAGATGAAAGCCCCTTTCCTTTGCTTTTATTCCTCTGCTATAGCCCACTGCCTTTATTCCATACATGCAAAGGAGGGACATTTAAATACCATCCTACTTCTTATTAGCATTTCACTTGTCTACATCCTTCATTTGTGTATCTCCTGAAACAGCCAAGTAGAAACCGTAAGAACAATTTATTTATACTCTGGAAAAAAAATTCTCTGAGGAATCAATTAAAGATGCTGTTTTTCTACTTGCTTTTGGATTGCCTGAAATGTTTCTGTGATTAAGTCTAGAGGACAATTAACTGATGAAAATGTTGCCTTTACCTATTTATAAATTTTATACTGTTTTAGAGAGCAGAGGAAAGAACTTAGATTTACAATTTCTTCACATCATATCTGTAGCACTAGATGGATTTATAGATGTTAACTGAAATGTACAGAAAGAAACAAATATTTTCAAAGGAGCTACATTCCCAGATTTGATTTAAATTTAAGCCATTTAATAGACAGCATAATTTTTAATCTTAAAAGAAAACAGAAATCTGGGCCTCCCCAGTGGTGCAAAGGGTTAAGTCTCAGACTATGAAGACTATCCCCAACCACTGCAGTATGAGATCCTGGGGTTGCCAGGAAGCTGACCCCACATGGCGCAGCAGACCTCTCCTGTCTCACCTGCTGCTCCCCTCAACAGTATGTTTCAGAACATCTGCCTGTTCCGCTCCCCACTCTGTTCCTGGTGAATCTCCCCTTCTCCACCTCCCACACCTCTAGCCTGCACCCCAGGTCTTGTATGCATAAATAAAATAAATCTTCTTTAAAAATGGAAACGGAAATCTGGTCCCCAAAAAATAATAATAAAGGATATAATTATTCTTCAAAAAGTGATTGACATTATTTCCATTGTATTTACATATCTTCAAATGGAAGGTTGCTGGTGGAAATACAGGCTGAGAGATGATTCCTGGGGCTTAGTTTCATGGTCTATGAATTATGTTATTTGAGAGAGAATAAACACTGAAAATATATCCACCCTTCAGAATTACTTTCTTTCAATACTGCCTTTCACCACCACTTTTAAATAATTGCTTCCTTGCTTTGCTTTAAAACCTGGCAAAGCACAGATCCAGATCTGGGCAAATGTCAATCAGTTCCTGAATGAATGATTTAGCAGGCTTTGGAAATTTTATCCTTTACATAAATTGGGTTCATTTCACTCTAGGCAATTACCCTGAGCAAGGTTTTTTCTTACATCACATGCAAAATAAGTCCTAGTCTAAATAATGAATGTAGTTCTGTGCCTTATTAAGCAAAAACATCAAAAGCATATTTCAAATTCAAAGCAAAATGTGTCCAAGAAAAATTACTTTTGGTATTGATACATACAGCTCTAAAGGGCAAAATTGAGCCTCAATGCTTAACAAAGAGACTAAGCTAAATATGCCATCCCACTGAGAACAGAAGGCTCTTCTCTCCGGGTCTCACATCAGGCTGCATGAGGCTTATGGCTAAGTGAGCGATGTGACAAACCAAGGTCAAGGCAGGGTGAGCACCATCCTCAGTGGCAGAGCCCAGGGGATGAAGAAGCCCCAGCACTGGGCAGGCTAAAGAGAGATGCTAACGAGAGGATCACGATCTGAACCCAGAAAGGAACAGGCTGACCAGGCTTCGCAGACGACATCATCTGCTCCCAGGTGCACCAACAGCCAGAACAGCATCTTGTGTGCAAGTTAGCATGCTGCCCTGGAGTCAGACACAGAAGCAGGCACAGCCAGTCCGAGCATTCCCAGAGTGGCAATGCAGTGAGAATACCTCAGGGAAGAAATGTGGAAATAAACATTTTTTCCTCTTTCCTAAAAATAAACACATATATAGACTATATATGCAACAACATATAGTGTATAATACTACAGAAATATACACTATGCTATAAAACACTATTCTATATTGTATGTATATAAAATATTATTTTATAAATATATACAATAGGGCCCTCCCTGGCGACACAATGAGTTAAAGCACAGCACTACAAAGCCGGCTGCAGCCGCTTCACCACAAGTTCAATTCCCAGCCCCGAAGGTGATCTACATGGAGGACAGACCTCTCCTAACCCGCCCGCTGCTCCCCTCAGCAGTGCACTTCATCAATCTGCCCGTTTTGCTCCCCACTCTGTCTCTAGTAAATCCTCTCACGGCCTCTGCACCGTTTTGCTCCCCACTCTGTCTCTAGTAAATCCTCTCACGGCCTCTGCACCGTTTTGCTCCCCACTCTGTCTCTAGTAAATCCTCTCACGGCCTCTGCACCTCTGGCCTGTACCCCAGTTTTGTATACATAAATAAATAAATCTTTTTTAAAAATACATACTATATATATGGCCCTCCCTGGTGGCGCAGTGTGTTAAAGCACTGCACTAAGAAGCTTAAGTCACTTCCGCATGAGTTCGATTCCCACCTGCCCCGGAGGTGACCACATGGCGCGGCAGACCTCTCCTGACCTGCCTGCTGCTCCCCTCAGCAGTGTACTTCTTCCATCTGCCTGTTCTGCTCCCCACTCTGTCTCTGGTGAAGCCTTTCGCCACCCTTGAGCCTCTGGCCTGTACCCCAGTTCTGTATGTACAAATAAATAAGTCTTAAAAAAAATACATACTATATAAAATATATGCTATAAAATACATAGTATTTTATATATATGCATGTGCTGAACAGATGGGGTAAATCATAACACATTATATTTAATTTTATAAAAGCAGTTATTTTTCAGGATCAAGCTAACTTTATGTATTATAAAATTTACTCTCTGGTCTTCCTCTTAAGCATTCCATACATTCTGCTACTCAGATGCAGGCCAGCCTTCAACTTGGTTTCCTAAATTATTGTGTGTTAAGGCACATAGCAAGAGATCATGTTAAAAATCCATCTTGGAACTGCTACTTTGCCTTGCTTTTATGGTTGATTAGAATTCAAAATGCCACAGGAATGGATTCAGACCAGCCATTCCTCACAAAAGAAAAATCATGTGGCTAACTAAATTGTTTTATGTTGCCAGATATCTCATAACTTATCCAGATTTATGTTCATTTTCTGTATGTTCACCTTATAATAGATGTTCTAGACAATGTCTGCTATTAACAAGTCTGAGGAAGACACTGATGTGTTCTTTTATTTTCCCCTTCCCATCCTGAAATTCATCTTGAATTATTGGGTCCTCTGAGCACTTTATCTTTTGCAATGATTAAATTATTACAGCCCAGCAGCAAGAACGTATTGATGATGTTCAGTGTCTTAGGGTCACTGTAGAGTGGGGATAGAAGCTGATTGTGGAGCATCAGATTTTGTGCTGGGATTTAAGCTACATTTACCTTTGTCTGGATGGGAGAGTATTTTTTTCTGCATGAGCTGGCTGCCAAAAAGCGATTGGATTATATCCGCCTGTGGTCACCGCTGACTCACTTGACAAGCCTGTCTCTTCTATTCGTCTCAAAGGACTTCTAGATTACAAAAGAATAACATGTACATTTCTTCTGTGCCTTCACTGAACACCGAAGTTTACAGAGATTCAGAGATGGTCTATCTCCCTGCCGTGGATTTTACTGCTAGATTACTAGAGCCTCCACTTGGAGCAAAAAGCCAATGTAGAAGCCAAGGCCAGATGGATGAAGTTGGCAAAAAACAAAGCCAAGCCGCCAAGTCTCTGCCTTTGAGTGCCTGCCATTTTCATCCTTATTCCCTTGCAGGAATTTTTTTTTTTTAAACAAGCAGTAAGTGCCTCTCTTCCAGGATCAGCTTTAAGCATTCTTTTTCTTTATCTCTTTTTTCTTTGTCTATATGTGTACTCTCCTTTCCCTATTTATCTCACCAGAAAGCAATCCATCCAAAAGATTTCAGTAATAAAAACTAATGAGTATTTATCATGTGCTGGGCACTGTCCTGAGTGTCTTCCAGGCATTATCCCATTTAATCTCCATAATCACCCTATTGGGTAGACATTATTACAATCACTACTGCACAAATGAGAACACTGAGACCCAAAGACGTTACGTAAAATAATGTTACATAACTAGGAAAACAAAGCCAGGATTCAAACCCAGGTCAGTGTGACCTGAAAGATAGCTTTTGAAAATATTATACAGAGCGCCCCAACCAAAGAGAATCAAAGCCATAGCGTGTTATTTTTAGCACGTCTGAGCACATATGTTTAGCTCTCTTTATACTGTGCGGTGCATTTGTAAATCAAAGATTTAGTCATTAACTGTGATTGTTCCATGCAACTAAGAACAAGCTACAACTAAAGAGACCCAGAGCAAAGCCACGTGAGGTGACTAGACCCCAGGGTAGTGATCACCATCTGCCTCTCATCCTGCACAGACGCCTAAATGGAGCCGCTTCCTGGTCATCACGGCCACAGCATCCCGTCTCTCACGTGCTTTGATATTCCTAAAATATCTCCATCTCCTGCCCCTCCCCTTCTCTGGTGCCAGGGAAGCCCATTTGTAGATTGCCCTCCCCCCAAATCCTTAACCGCCCACTGCCTACCTGGAACGTGAGGCTTTATGCTTTCCTGGCCTTAGAGATAACCGCTGGTCTACAACACTTTGAGCTGAATCTACAGTACCAAGCATTGTGGGATACTGGTAAGTGTTTTAAAGCTCTACTGTGAAAAAAATAGCTTCTTGTCCTGAATTTGGTGTTATTCCTATGAAGCTCAAGAAATACTGGTGGTGGACATGATTATGAAAAGGAAGAAATACTGGTGGTGGACATGATTATGAAAAGGAAGGAGGAAGATCATGGTGGAATAGTTACGTATTAAAGTACTTAGTTTATTGGGCCCTCCCTGGTGGTGCAACAGGTTATAGCACAGCACTAGAAGCTAGCCAGCTTTTTCAGCACAATTTCCATCCCCAGTCAGGAGGGTGACCCACATAGCGCAGCAGACCGCTCCTGTCTCACTGGCTGCTCCCCTCAGCAGTGTCCTCCTCCCCATCCTGTCTCTGGTGAATCCTCTCACTGCCCCTGCACCTCTGGCCTGTACCCCAGCTCTGTATGCATAAATAAATAAATCTTTTTAAAAAATGCATTTGTTTTTTTAATAAATAAATTAAAGTACTAATCTAAGGAGCACTTACATGTGCCAGACACTTTACCTCTGTGATCTCATTTAATCTCTAATATTAACCTGATGAGAGAGTTTTGTTTGTTTTGTTTTTTGAGGTAAAAAAAATTATATTGTTTTGCCACTGGTTTACTTCATTGTTTGTATTTTGGAGGTTGAGAATCCCCTTCAGGTGTGGAAACTATAGAGCTCTCACCGACAAAGCACTCAGTCCACCACTGTGGTCCATGATGTTCCCTCCCTACTTTGTGCTGACCACCCCCCCACCTCTGTGTACCTCAGTTCTCCAGTAGGCTTTTGAAGGTTAGCTTTTGAGTTTGTACTTATCTGACTCCTTGTTTTCTCTATATTGCCCACATAAGTGACACCATCTGGTATT